GAACAAACTAGTCAATAGTAGACTAACTAAATGAGCATACGGCTCTCAAAAAATGAAGTGCAAATAACCAGTCAACATATGAAAAAAGTGGCCAAATTTGTTAGCCTCCAAAAACACAAATATAAACTACAAGGGATCCCATCTGACCCCTGCCAGAATGGCAATTATCAAGAAAACAAATAGCAGCAATTATAGGAGAGTATTCTCCTATACACAGCAAAAGGAACCATTGTACATTGCTGACCAGATCATAAACTAGTGCAGTCTCTATGGTAGACAATATGGAGATTCCCCAAAACACACACACAACATAAATCTATGATGTGGCTAAGCTATACTATTCCTGGATATTTATCAAACAGACTTCAAGCCAATGTATTACAGAGATGCTTGAACATCAGCACTTACTGCAGTACTGTTCGTAATAGCCAAGGTACTGAATCAACCAAGATGTCCCTCTACAGAAAAGTAGATCAAGGAAATGTGGTACATATGCACAGTGTGAATTTTTCAATTATAAAGAAAAATAGAATTATGTCATTTGCAGAAAGAAAAGGAGCTCATCGTATTAAGGGAATTACATCAGTTTCATAAAGACAATGTGGCAACTTTCCTTTGTGGGTCATAGACTTTATGGACACATAAAATCACATGGGTACAGATGACTGGAATATAGAAGTGAAACTATCTGAGGAACAAGAGGACTGACAGAGGAGAAGGAAAGAGAAAAGGGATCATAATGGAGGGTGAGAGTGAGTATGTATAAGTATGTTATATATTTGCACCAGAAGTGAAGAAATAAACAAAGGCTTTACTGATTATGAATGACACATAAGGCTGCACTTCGTTAAACTAGTTAATTAAACCAGGTAGTGGCCCCAATAAGATTACTGGCCACTTCAATACATGAATTTGACTGATGCTCTTCCTCTCAAAATTCATAGTTGTTTTGATTTTATGATAACTTTCATCATCACTAAAGAACAATTTCTTAAACACTCATTATGAACAAAATTTTGGGGACTGCAATGCCATTTGGGTAACTAAGAGAAAGAAGCAAAGATAAACAGCAACAAGAAGGCAGAATATAATATAATATTATAATCTCTCAGGACCTTGGTGTAGAAGTCCCAAACACAGATTTCAGAACATACAGCATTATCCTTGCCTTTGTGGGTAAGTAATTAGACTTAATTTTTAGCCATTTATGGAATCAATGTTTTTTCCTCCTTCCATCTTTCCATCATCCCTCCATCCTTTCTTCCATTATCCCTATCTATCCAAAGTGATCTAGAATTACTCCTGCCTCCCAAATACCAAGATTACAAGCATGTGCCACCAATGCCTGGCTGTTCCGGGTTTCCTTTAAAACATTGGATTATTATTGAGGATTTTTTCGTTTGTTGTTGTCTGTCATACTTAAAAGGACTTTCATGCTTCCAAATTATAATTTCTCTATGGCTTCATTTTATTTTACTTTACTATGTTATGTGTATGAGTGTTTTGTCCATATGCACATTTGCATACCATATGCATACTTGATGCCTGAATAGATAAGAGAAAAGCACTTTGGATGCCCTGGGGCTGGTGTTATAGATGGTTGGGAGCTGCTATGATGGTGTTAGGAATCACACCCAGGTCTTCTGAAAGAGTAGCCAGTGCTTTGAAATATTGAGCCAACTTTCCTGCCCTCCTATGGTTTCTTTTAACATTCTAAGTATTCTGTGTCTTGTGTTTAAAACATTTTGGATCCTAAGAAAATAATTTGAGTATGATAAATAGCTTAACTTTTTCCTAAACTCCAAGCCAGTAGCTCAAGATTATGTAAGTAATCTCTTTTGCCATTGAAGTGACATTAATACCTCTATGTGTGCTGTTACCTAATTCTGAATTTTCTCTTTCCTTGCTAAATTGTTGTCATTCTGCTTCAGGATTGCAGCATTATGGAAATGGATTCATAGAGCTAGGGCAGAAGCCTTCAACTGGGCACTTTTTTGTTCATAATAACTTGGATGTTTGCAAATGTGCTCTTATCCTATCAGACTTGTCAATGCAGAGCATTCAGTAACATGCTCTTCATTATTCAAAAGAAGAGGGCATTCACGGATAATGTTGCCTCATATTATTGAATAAATAAAGAGATGTGATTCCCAAAATGCCTCCATTTCAAGTCAATCTGGCAAATGTCTCATGAAATCCTATTGGTATTTGATTGAGATTTCACAACTACAAATCAATTTAAACAAAATGTCTTTTTGTTTGAATGTTTGTTTTTGCAGTGCTGTGGCTAGTATATATCCTGCCACTTATGTGTTTGCAGCTTCCACAGACCTAACAGGAAATTGACATCATGTTCGTCTTAGAAACTGATGAGTTCATCTTAGTGAGTGTATATTTGGACTAGATTAAAGGAAATCAGAGTGGGTGACACAGCATTTAGGGAAAGAGCATTCCCAGTTAGAGTCTAAAGTGGCAAGCACAAGGAGCAATTACTAGAATTCGATAGGGACAGCATCACAGGATGGACAAAAACCTCAATAGGTAAGAGTTACAACCAATCCCAGCCAAATAGAGGGAAGAAACCACAGGCAGAGGGGCTCTACTCTACCCTCCAATGTACAACTCTCTTCTGCTGAAACCCAACCAGAAGGCAGCAGCTAACAAGGTGTTGTCATTTGTACAGTGCAGGCTCCAACTCCCCACCCCAAAGCCATATCAAAAGACTGGAAGATTGTTCTGGGCCCAAAGGGTAAGTATGTAGTGCTGTAAGCACCTTATTTGTCACAAGAACTAATTCCTTGAATTTCATGTCATTCCCCCCCCACACACACACACACTTTCAATTCTGTTGTTTCAATGGCTTCTCCCCTTCCAGAACCAGTTTAGATTACTTGTTGTTTCTGTATAAGAAGGCTGTTAATTTTCATGTATTGTTTTCTCAACAGAGTACTTGGATAAGGGGGATTGTATTATTATTTGCATGGATATAATTTGCTGTGTGGTGTGAATCAAGTCCAATGCTCTTCTTGTACCAATTCCAGTATTTGTAAGAAATAAGCAATGAGAAATGTGCTTCAAGTACTGGAGAGATGGCTTAGTGGTTAAAAGCACCTGTTCTTATAGTAGACCAATGACTAATTCCCAGCACCTACATGACAGCTCACAACTATCCATAACTCCAGTTCTAGAAGAACTTCTTGTTATATTGCTGCTTGTTTCAGGTGACATGATTCATTGTTTTCACAGGCATTATTGGTTACCTGGGATTTATAAGTTTTATATAACCATGAATTAGAAAGTGGATCAAAGGAAGGGAACACTGGGCATATTGTCACATGCATATCATTCAGATATGCATGAACTGGTTGATTTTTACTTTTAGTGCCTACTTTGCTTTTCACTAATTCAGAATTGGAAGCAATCAAATGCAGACTTCCTCTGACCCCTTGTTAGAAGCCATAGTCACCTAAAGAAAACTTGAATTCCTCTAAGTTCTATTAATGTTCACCATTATTCATAAAAAGCAGAAGCAGAGGGTGCCATCTGGGTTGTTTCCATGGTAAGTTTATTTCTGGTACTACCGGCACGCTACAACAAATGAGGAAGAAAGTGTATTTAAATCCTTGGTCTCAAGATCTTGACTTCTGGTTCCAGTTGCTTGAACAAAACAACTTGGTTCCTCATCACAACTCACGAGGACAACCTCAGTTCCAAAGGCTTCAATGCCCTCTTCTGACTTCCTCAGGTACAAAGCAGGCAAATGATAGACAGACATTCTGCATTTGAGCAAAACAATAATACACATAAAGTAAAATAAGTAAATTTAAAATAATTGAAGTCATTTACAGTATTATTTTCATTATTTAACGACAAAATATGAAACAATTACAACTCCATGTTATAACATAACATCACATCACATCACAGCATAGCATAACATAACAAGCCTTCAGGCCAGCATATTAACCCTGGTCATTATTAGCTTATCTTTACATGCTAATCTCTGTATCTTATTCCTTGATGAAATAGGTATATTAAATAACTGTAAACAGAGCTACAATAAATTTAAGTGTATCCACCAAAGGCCTGTATAATCAGTAAAGAAGGAATACTTCTTTCGGGGACCACACTTTGAGAAACAAATCTTTCTTGCTATTACTCTAGACTGCAAATATGGCTGACTTGGAACCCAAAGTGAATGACCTAAATGGTAGCTTTTCTACCATTCAAAAACCAGTATCTCTTCAAACTGTGCCAAAGACAAAGCAAGACAAATTTAGATTTGTTTAGAAAATGTCTATAAAGCAATGTTTCTCAACCTAAAACACATAACTTTTCAGGGCATAGCTTAGAATCTATGGAGACATCTGTGACTGTCACATGTAGAAGACGGTGCTATTGGTATCTAGTGAGATAGGTATCTATTGAGAGAATGCCACCAAATAGCCTCTAGTATAAAAAAGAATGATGCAGTTAATGTCAGTAGTGAACTAAGGAGATGACTCAGTGGCTCAGCACTTGCACAACAAGTGTAAAGAACTGAGTTTGAATCTCCAGAACCCTAGTAATATAGTGATTATGGCATAACCACTCTAATCTCAGCACTGTGAGGATGCAGACAGGAGGATTTCTACAATTAGCTGACCCCAGTCTAGCTTCAAATTCAGTACAAGACTGCCTCAAAAGGATAAGGTGGAGAGTGGTAGAATGGGATGCCTGAAGTCCTTCCCTAGCCTCTTCACACAAATGTACCTTCACAGATAGCACACACACACACACACTCAATAGTGACAAAGTTTAAAGTCCTTGTTATAAAAAAAAAGTAAAGACCGGTATATGAGGTTGTTTGGATTTACAGATGTTGCCTCAAGTCTGGTGATAGAAATAAGAGGAACTTAGTGTTTCTGCAAACCTCATGTGTGGGGTGGCTTAAGTAGTCATGCTCTTTCCTGTCCCCCTCCTGCTACCTAGCTTCAATTTCGTACTTGGAAAGCCCAGGGCCTGCAGCTCAGAGGTTCTGTGAGTCTGTGCTTCCTGTTGCCTTCCCTCTGTCTCAGAGGACTCCACTTATAAAACCACTCCATGCCGTCAAGAAAGGTATTTTAAGCATTGGGAGACATTTGGATAATTTCAGTAAGTATACTTATGTGTTGTTGCAAGGGAGTGGGGAAGGGAAGAGAGGGAATCCGAATCATACTGCAAAAATGTTTTAGGATGAAAAGAAAATACTGTTGTAGTCTAAAATGTCAATTCCTAGAAGTCAGACTTTCAGTAAGATTAGAAATAGTTTATTGGAGTCTGTCCTTCTTGTATCTAACTTTGATGAAATACTTATAAATACTATAAGTATTGTCAACAACACATGTTATAAAACAAAGTTGACAGTGTATCTTTAAGCTACAATACTGTTGTTCCCTTTTAAGTGTCACGATGGATGTCTCTCTTTCTCACAGCAGATGCCACTGGATCCATCTCAGGCTGATCCTCGTCTACCTCAGGCTCCATTCTCCTCCTCCAGACTTCTCCATACCATTTTGAAAGAAAACTAAAAATGGTAAGAACCGCTTATGAAGTCTTACTTTGTCTTTGATAGTCTTTGTGCTAAGAACTGCACTCAGTTGGCAAGAATAATATTTAGGAATTGTTCAGGGATGGCGATGTCTCCAAGGAGAAACTGCTTTGTGATAATTTATGATAAAGATGAGTCAAGGTAGTATTTCATAATTTCAGATTAGTCAATGTTTGTTCTGTCCAACTTCCTTCCTATGTAAGCTAAATACATACTGTAGTGAGCAAGAATGGATGTTTCAATTAAGGATTTTATCTTATTTTATTTTATTTTGATTCTCCAGTCTGAGCTTTAAAACCACACAGGTTCCTGGAGTGACTTAATGCTTTTCCTATTGTGTGTTGCTATCAGAAAGGATGGAGCCAGGGTATATATAGAACTGGGATTTGGGGGACCCCATACTCTACTGCAGTCAAAGATGCCCAGAGCCCACAATTAGATGAAATTGGATTATCTGGAGGAGCACAGCAAGGGAAGAGCCCTCAGGATGCACTTTGGACTCAGTTCTGAGCACAACCAGAACAAATGTGATTTAAAGCAAAGTGTGGGTGGATGGAAAATTACTAAGAGGAAACTCCAGGCACGTGGGTGTGAGGGTGTGGGGGTGTAGGGACATGGGGGTGAGGGGGTGAAGGGTGGGGGAGGGATCTAGCTAAAGCGGCCTGACAGAATTATTGTTGGAGGCAGGCCAGTATGGTGTAACATTTCCTTGGAGCTGAGTAGAGTGAGGGATGCCATTAGACAAAATGGGGGCTAGGGCATGAAAGTTGTAGCTCCATGTTGGGGGTCAGGGAGTTATCATAAACCAACATAGGATTTTCAACAAAATAACTTAGTGAGATCCCTGCTTAAGCTAGGTCAAACAAAGATGGCACAAAGCCCCCACACCAAGGCCTAAGGCATAGAGAAGCCTGGCTGAAATTCAGTCAAGGAGAGTCTGACCATGTTTATTTGGGAGACCATGTACATTTCAGCACAGACTTCTGAAATTTACTTTCTTTAACCATATGAGCATTATGATCTCTTCATAGTCATCCTACAGAGCCACAGTAAAGCTCCATACATTTGTTCAAAAACTTTGCCAGTGGTAATTAGGCAGAGTAAATCCAAATCTGGAAGAGCTTCTTCCGAAATGATTTTTTTTCACCCACACTAGACTCAATAGAGTGTTTCTTGGCAGCACACTTTGATTTCCAGATCATCACATTGGCCTCAAACTCAATTTCTAAGGTCTAATAATGCATTACCCGTGAGACCACTCTGTTACAAAGGAAGCAACTGCTTTGAGTTTCATTTCCTATAAACCCAGATGTCTGTTTTAATGTACACACATGCCCACATATGTCTTTGCCCCTCTAAAGGAGGATACTAGGAGGATGGTGAAAAAGACAATTCAATTCATAGACCACTCACTGTAAGTCAAGCCTTGTGCTTGTTTTAACTTCAAAGCTGGTCTACATACAAATAAGGAAACTGAGGCTGAACAGGTAAAAAAGCTTGAGGACATTGTCCCTGCATCCCAGCTCTTGAAGCTGGGCCTCTAAGACTGCTCTGTTCTTCCAATACCAAGCCTAACATGCACTTTTACCCAGTGACACTCAACAAATGTGAGCTTCATTGTGATATAATTCTACTTAAGAACTAAAGGGAAATCAGTGTACTTGTACATGAAAAGCCATAAAAGCACTTTTCAAAAAGAAGTATAAACGGCCCAAACTAAGGGGAAATCTGTATACTAGGGCATGAAAAGAAAAAAAAAATAACAATTTTCAAAAAGAAGTACAAAAGACCCAAAAGAAAAAAGAAAATATCCAGCCTTGGGAATAGTAATGTCATATGCTTTAATCTGGAAATTCCACTTCTAGAAACTCTAGGTAAAGTTGACCACATGGGTGGTGAACTATTTCGCAAAATGGTATATGCAACTAGATAAAGAAAACATCTCATGACTCATGAGAAAAAAAGGTTTCTATACTGTGGGATACTTATTAAATAAAATGGTACAGAACCATCAAATCAGATTTCGAAGAAAGAGTATTGAATGATTTAAGAAGATACAGTGTCATGTTAAATGACAGAAAAAGCAAAGTAGGAATCAGTAAGGACTTTATATTTTCTGGTGTTTTTCATGCACACACTAGACAAGTGCTGAATGCTTACTAAACACTGGATGATCTATGGTTATGGAATTATAACCATTTAAAAGATTTATTTTATTTAAGCGTTATGTACTTATATGTACATATGTACATATGTACTTATGTGAATGTGTGTGCCATGTAGGCGTGTGTGAGTATGTGCCTTTGTGACCATGTGAGTCTATGTACACTATGTGGATGCGGGTGTCTTTTCAGGACTAGGGAACCCACTGGAACTAGAGTTATAGGTAGTTGTGAACCATCTGGTGTAGGTGCTGTGAAGAGAACTCTGCAGGACGTGCTCTTAACAACTGAGCCATCTCTTGAGCTACTGTTATAACTGGTTTTGGGCAGTTATAGGTAAAGTGATACCTGAAAGCCAGAGTTATTACATAGCAGACTAAGGTTTTAAACCCAAATCTCTCCTCTGGAAAAGACCTGGCTATTACTAACATGTTCCTCACTATATGAAATAGATGGGAGATCCATCAACATTAGAAGAAAAAAAAATCCAAACTGATTATAGTAGCTAAGTAGTTGATTTAAAAGTGAAATAATTTACTTTTTGTTACAGCTACTGTTTTTAGTGGTTAAATAAAAGGAGCAACAAGGTATTTAGTACATTAATTAAATATTATTATTTTAAAAATTGGAAGCTCTTGGTAGAATTAAAAACCATCATTCGAGATTAATCAGGTAGCCTCTTTGCACCTCAAAAATAGATTATTTCTGTCTCATAATTTCACAAAAGTTTATGGCTGAGTTTGGAGAACTGTGGCCATATTCAAGGAGTCATTTTTGTAAATCCAAAATAATTTGCATGTTTTTGCAAGTTCTTTATGGTTTCATACATGTGTATAATGAATTTTAGCCACTTTCACCCCTCCAGTGTCCTTTCTCTTCTCTCTCCCTCTCTAGTGAAACTCATCTCCCCAAGTCTCTTTCCTTCTTGTATATTTATTTTTTCTATGTGAAACCCACTTAGTGTTGCTCATGTGAGAATGGATGGATGGGGGATTTTTTACTAGAGACAAATGCAGTTCACTAATAGAGTACTTGCCTGGCACGTGTAAGGCATTAGGTTCAACCCTCAGTACTACTAGAAAACAAATAATTGAAACATATCAAGGGAAAATTATGAATCCAGGATACCTTGAAGTTAAGTTCAAATTTACATGCTCACAAAATAGTGCTCTTGTGTGTGCCTACAGATGCTTTTGAACTATAGTGGTCAACTAGTCAATGAAGTGAATGGGTTTTTTATTTAAATTTAATTTTATTTAATTTAATTTATAATTTATTCTCTTCACATCCCAATTATTGTCCCCTCCTTTCTAGTATCCTAGTCCCCCTTCCTTCCACTTTCCCCCTTCCACCCCCTCTCCCTAATCCTCACAAAGAGGGAGCTCTCCTTCCCTACCAACAAGTCTCATCAGAACTGCCTGCATCTTCTTCCTCTGTGGCCTGGCAAGGCTGCCCCTTCAGGGGATAGTAATTAAAGAGCAGGCATGGGAGTCCATGTCAGAGACAACCACTACTCCCTTTACTAGGGAACCCACATGGAAACTGAGCTACCTATAGGTTACATCTGAGCAGGGGAACTAGGTCCTCTCCATGAATAGTACTTCCTTGGTACCTCAATCACTGCAGGCCTCCTGGGTCCAGATTTTTTTTTTGGCTTTGTTGGTCTCCTTATGGAGCTCCTGTCCACTCTGGGTCCTACTACTCCCCCACTCAAACTCTGTGCACTCTGCCCAAAGTTTTGCTGTGAGTTTCTGCATCTGCTTAGATCCCCTACTGGGCGGAGTCTTTTAGAGGACATGTAGGGCAGGCTCCAGTGCTGTTCCCTCTCTTCAACTGCTTCTGGTGTCTATTCTATTTTTTCCTTCTGAACAAGAATTATGCATCCTTCCTAGATTCTTCCTTGTTATTTAGCTTCTTTAGGTCTGTGGATTGTAGTATGGTTATCCTGTATTATTGTATGACCTACAGAGTCTAAAGTGCTCTTTGCAGAAATAGTTTTCCACTCTGGAGTTTATAGAAATCAAGGAGATGTGAGGTTGAAGTTTACTCACAGTTTAATGTCTTGTGCTCCATAGTAATTGAGAAGTGCCTATTTACTTAAAGTATATATTAATTTATTCTATTAGTATCGAACCTGAAGCTGACATGGCAGGAAGTCTGTGATTTTTAAAAAAGTGTGCTTATGAAAGAGTGGGCTACATCCTTGGTCTTGAAATTTTCTTTTTGTTATGAAATGGAGGTTTGATATCCATGAAGTCTACATTTTTCAGAGACTACCCTATGATGAGAAATACTTCAAACTATGTGAAAAGCAGCTATTTGGCTATAAATCTATTAAGGGAATTTCTAGTAAGGTCTCAATCTATAAACAGCGACTTCCCTATTCACAACACTTGAGCAACCCTTAGGGCGTTTTACTTATTACAAATCACATTACCACACCATTCAATGGTCTATCAGCTTAGCCAAAGGTCCAATTCAAATTCAAAAGCTTCCATCAAGGTCTATTCACTCCTCCCTTCTTTCATGTGCCTCTCCACCCTTCTACAGCTAGGCTGCCATCACCTCTGGAACACCCAGTCCCATCCAAGGACAGGTTCACCAACAGGCTATAATGCCTTCACTGAACTCCCTCCCTCCATCTTTTCCCCTGCTTCTTTCACTCCTCCCTAAAAGTGATTTTTAACACTTGCTTTAGACAGAGGCAGTTGAGGGAGCCCCATGCTCTGAAGGCTGTAAACTAGAAGGGTTCCACAGTGCTGGCTTTCTCATAAATTGATTGAGTGGGTGGATAAAAAAGTGAAGGGAAAGAGAAAAAGAAAC